AATACTCTGCTGTACCGTACATCGCCTTGGTCCGTACTAGCAGACACACATACATACATACTACACACACACACACACACACACACACACACATATATATATATATATATACACACATATATATAGTAATTAACGACAATGCTTATCCGTTAATCTTTATTGTTTTAAACAAATATAATATTTCAACATTTGATTACTGAAACTTATTATTTGTAAAATTAGTTATAAATATACATAAAATACATTATCCCGTTTATAAAATATGTGTCTATAAAATAGTCTAGGTCAGATATTCGAGTTTTTTTAGGCTAAATTTCATCGGTCACACGAGGATTTGACACCTTTTGTGACGGTTGATCTTTTAACTGATGTCGCTTATTGGTATTATGTTTTGTACTTTCTCTGATTGCTGTTCGTACCGTGGAAACTTGACATGAGAAGTATCCCTCTGATTGTGTGTGTGTGTGTTTTCACCTGGTAAGTTAAATGTCATATGAATATTACTCCTATTGACCAAGTGTCAAAGGTAATTGCTGAAAGTTTAGTGAAATCTATTAATTGACGCCATGTTCGAAGTTGAAAATTGTGAAAATTTCTATGCTTAATCTTCTATGTTGTTTCACTGACAAGTTTGTTAAGACTAAATATAGTTTCAAGAAAAATCGTAACTGGAACGTAATCCAAGCACAATCGTAACTGGTAAACAAGAAATATGCCCTGATTTAGAAGCTTTCGAGAAGGGCCGCGAGGAGCTGGTCCGCAAAATTGAAGCTTTGTAGTTATCCTACAATAACACTAATAAAAATACATCGTAGTGGATATTTTATACAAATTAGCAAGATAATTGCATACCTAGACTTACAATTCTAGGAATAATACATACCTCCCAAGCATTGTATCGGGTTGAGCTGCAAAAAGAGCCGGATCTACAATAAACCTAGTGTTGTCAACAACTAATGTAATTCTCTCCTCACTACTAACAGGAATGAGTTGATTGGCTGCTGGAACATTGCTGTCGCTTCCATTACTACTTCCGATAAGGCTGTTGTCCGAGTTACAACCAACGCCACCTATACTTCCATCATCTGGCATGTGGTTTCTGGCTGGACCCGAGTGCTGCTGAGGATGGTAGCTGCGAGACCTGAAGAGAAAATTACACGTCATCCTTACATCTCGCAATGTATATATTTTTTATGAAGAAGTACAAATACGCATTTTAATATTGTGCTAATTCAAACTCTGAGATCGACCTTTGTGTTTATCACCGTTAACTCATTAAATTTTCTTCCAAATTCCCCACCCTAATTTGTTTTATCAATTCATTATATCGGACAATTTCTAATAGTTCAATGTCTCTCAAATTGCTTGTATATTGGACAATAAAATCAACTTCAGGTATCGAAACCTGATAAGCCATCAGATCGCTGAGCTACGGGGGCCGCAAACAATCAGTTAGCCGACTGTTAAGGGTTAACTGATTTGTTTTTTGTTTGAAGTTATGCACAAAGCTACACAATGGGGTATCTGTGCTCTGCCCACCACGGGTATCGAAACCCGGAT